CAGTTAATGAGTCAGCTAAAACAATGCCACTCGCTTTCACTCTTTACTCGACAGGGCTCAAAATAACGCCCGGTCAGTGACCAGACATGATGACCGTTCAAATACAATTTTGACCGCACATTTTCAGTTTTTACAGGACAAAAATGAAAAAAAAAATGAAGCATAAAAACTTGAATTAAAACATATATTATTTATACAAAAACCATAGTTTATTGGCATTAAAATCGAATTCAAAGACAAAAAATTACAAAAAAACCCTTTCTGATTTTTGAGCGTTTCATTTGAATAAAAATTTAGCACATTCACACTGCATGTTCAGCAGCGTGAAAATCCTTCATTAAAAGCAAGAAAAAATAAAAATAAAATGCCATGAACAAAGTGAAACAAGTGTAATTTCTTTATTACCTTTATTAAGTTAGACTAAGGATATTGCTTTTTCCTTCTTGGTGAAATGCGTTCCACAAAAAATGAGAACAAAAGCTTTGAATTATCATATTGAAAATACTCAATATTTTTCTATTTCTGCAACATTTGACGTTTGACATTAGACATTTGATGACTTTCATTCATTATGCTGCATGGAAAAAAAAATTGGAAAAAAAATTTAGGAGTTATGAACCACAAATTCACATAAAAAAATTTTATATTCTTTATTCCCATTTAATTCAGCCAAATGATTTTTGGCCGAGTGCAAGGAGCCTGGGCTGATGACGTAGATGGAGTAACTCGACCTCCGGTGAATACAAAGTTTACTGTACAAATTCCCCATATTTCATTACAAATCTATGTTTTCTAAGACTGAATGTGGGTCAATCCAAACTGGAACGGCAAATCTAATGCTACTAGAGATTAGTCTGACAATCTGAACATTATTTTATGTCTTGGCTATAAAAATTGAGCCAAAGTGTTGAGAGATTATCCTGGACGAACAAGTGTTGCTTAGATCTAGATCTATATACAGGCATTCTGATATAGTGCGATGATGCGATTTCGCATAATCACCTAAAAATCGCATTTTTCCGCATAATAGATAAAAATCACATAATTAGTCAAAAATTGCATAGTTTTTGAAACAAAAACATGTTTCCCATTAAAATAAATTAAGTTCTGTCTATTTCATTTTAGAATTTATCGATATACACCTTTTTTGAGTAGAAAATATTTGAAAAACCATTCAATATTCTATCAAAACACACGTGTCTGATATGATTTCGTCATTATCTACAAGGCGTTACTTGCTCAACAGCAGAGTCTGGGAACTGGTGCTAGTTTTATGGCGGAGCTGTCGACGGAGGCCCTTTTCTTTTCTTCTAAGATTTCTTAGCATCGTGATTGATTTAATGGATTTTGCGTATAATCTTTTCACAATATTTCTTCTGAATATTTTAATAAAAGTTAAAAGAGATAGATAGAAAAAAAGATGTGTCCAGAAGCTGCTCAAGTCGAGAATCAAACCCGCAATCTTTAGACGCCGCTATTCGAGTATGTGATAAGAGAACATTTTGTATAATGATAATATTGACATGAAAATGTGTAAATTGCTCTTATACTAAAACGCGCCTTTTTACCGTGTCCAGGCGACTTTATTTCACATTGCAGTTTAGCGATCCCTATGGACCGAAATTACAACTTGAAGCAATAAAAAGTCATTAATTAGATAAACACTAAAAGCCATAGAATCGTAAATGAAATGTTGACAAATGTGACAAAAAATTAAAATAAACATGAGAAAAAGATTTCGAAATATTGCTCAATTTACCGCATAATCGGGAATTTTTGCCGCATAATTGAACATTTGTGCCGTATAATTTGATGTAAAAATGCTACATAATTTTCATTTTTTTGCTGCACTATATCAGAATGCCTGTATATAGAGGAACAGGAAAAATTATTTACGGGCCGAGGAGGAGGCTTAATAGGAACATAGAGATCTAGAATACTATGACATAAGACAGAGTTCAATTTAAAGTCTCATTATTTGTGAAATAGAGATAAAAAGGTAAATAGAGAGGGATAAATAGAGTAAACGATGATTATTATGACCTTGTAATTCCATTCTAAAAAGGACGGACCAAAATGGACCATAAATGAAGCAGAGTTAAGATCAGATTGCTGTGATTACTAGTTCGCCAAAAACACTGGTCTTGTGTGCATTAAAGCCAAGCGAAGCAAACAAACCACATAAAGCGACCCAAAATCTGAAATATTCTTTATACAGTACCGGTCTCGAGTAAAGTACCATCCACTCGCTCTATACTCGAGAGTGYGATTATYGAGTGMCCATCGTTRCTYRCGAGTYATGCATAACAAATTATTCATAAAAGCGAGTGTAATCGAGTGGCTTCCACTCGAAAGACTTTCGAGTGTCGAGTGTAGTTTTACAAACAATTTCTGTTGAAGTAAACGATCAATGAAAAGTCAAAATTTAAATTCTAATCGGTCGCTTTTATATTAGCGAATGATCGGCAAGATCGTACGTCGGCAAGATGTCAATTCAATGTCATATAAATTTAGGCTACACGACAATGTCACGCCGTCTCGTCATACTGTCTCGTCATTCCGCTGTCTAGGCAGTGTTAAAGCACTTTGGGAAGCTTAATTGTTCTGTTTTCTTCCACAATTCAGTATTTTTTGTTATTATCAAAAACACCGGCCGAACACATTATGGAGTGTTCAATCACAATATGGAGAATCCGGAATTACCGATAAGGGTAACTTTTACCGTTGTATCAGCCAATCACAATCAAGTATTTTGATACCCATTCAACAAGGGTAAATTTTACTCGATGACAGCCAATCGCATTCAAAAACACGAGTAATTTTTACTCGATGCGGAAAATATTACCGCTATATATGACCATATGTTCACGAGTTTACTAAGAATTCGTTTACAAGCAAGAATATTTTGAAGACATAATGTTCTATGCTATATTCTCTATTGAAATAGGCTACACATTGTTTAAGTTTACCAAGTTTAACGTATTATCGAATAAGTAACAATGTCGTAACACGATCGGTGTCCCACCAAGCCAACGTAAACCTCGTTCTTTATATTATAATACCTAAATATTAAATAGTTTTTACTCAATTCATGATCGTGCGTGTTCAGTCGAAGTTTGCCTAAAAGCTAGAAAAGATTGAGTCACCCAGTTTTGATTTTACTAAAATTTATTTCGATATTTAAATCAACTAAATTTCAAAATGTTAAGTTAAAAACGTTTTGACGAGATTTTGTGCTTCAATTCGTTTTATCTG